TGTTTCCAAATAGGAAAAGGAGTACGTCAAGGCTGTATATTGTCACCCTGCTTATTTAACTTATATGCAGAGTACATCATGAGAAATGCTGGGCTGGAAGAAGCACAAGCTGGAATCAAGATTGCCGGGAGAAATATCAATAACCTCAGATATGCAGATGACACCACCCTTATGGCAAAAAACGAAGAAGAACTAATGAGCCTCTTGACGAAAGTGAAAGAGGAGAGTGAAAAAGTTGGCTTAAAGCTTAACATTCAGAAAACTAAGATCCTGGCATCTGGTCCTATCACTTCATGGCAAATAGATGGGGAAATAGTGGAAACAGTGACAGACTTTATTTTCTTGGGCTCCAAAATCACTGCAGATGGTGACTACAGCCATGAAATTAAAAGATGCTTGCTCCTTGGAAGAAAAGCTATGACCAACCTAGACAGCATATTTAAAAACAGAGACATTATCTTGCCAACAAAGGTCTGTCTAGTCAAGGCTATGGCTTTTCCAGTAGTCATGTATGGATGTGAAAGATGGACTGTGAAGAAAGCTGAGCGCCGAAGAATTCATGCCTTTGAACTGTGGTGTTGGGGAAGACTCTTGAGAGTCGCTTGGACTGCAAGAAGATCCAACCAGTCCATCCTAAAGGAAATCAGTCCTGAATATTCATTGGAAGGACTGATGCTGAAGCTGAAACTCCAATACTTTGGCCAAATGATGCAAAGAACTGACTCATTTGAAAAGACCCTGCTGCTGGGAAAGATTGAAGGCAGGAGGAGAAGGGGACGACAGAGGATGAGATGGTTGGATGGCATCACCGACTCAATGAACATGAGTTTGAGTAAACTCCAGGAGTTGGTGATGGATAGGGAGGCCTGGCATGCTGCAGTCCATGAGGTTGCAAAGAGTCGGACATGACTGATAACTGAACCGAACTGAACTGGAAACACTGAAAAGTCTTCTGAAACATCTACCCAGCAAGCAAGAGAAAATTGACAGTGTAATGAAGGGTGAAATGATAATGTCCCTTCCCGTAAATGGAATGCAGTCAACAAGAACAATGCATTCAAACAGATTTGGAGGGCATCCTGATGGAGTTTCAAATATCACAGCCCCCTATACTCATAAGAGCCTGCAATGGGGTCTTCCTCTAAACAGCCAAGTGACCACTTTAGACAGATAAAGGGAAACCATACAACATACTACTAGAGCAATTCTGCCACTGTAAAAATTGGAAAAAGAGATAGAGGAATAAATCACCACATAATTTGTCAAGGTAAAACTGGTGAAATACACTTAGGGTTGGAAGAGGTGATTTAAGGACATGCAAATGAAGACTTGCCAATTATAAATCTAGTGATTAGGACCCTCAAAATACTGTTGCTATGGATTGAATGTTCGTGTCCTTCGTATGTTGAAGCCCTTTAACCCACAGTGTGATGGTATTAGAAGATAGGACCAGGGGGAGATATTATTACGGCCATATATAATATACAATTGCAGTTAGATGAGGTCAGGAAATTAGCACTCTTGTGATGCGACTGTGCCCTGATAAGAGGAGATATGAGAGAGCTTGCCCTCTTTCTCTTTCTTTCTGCATAAGCATAGGGAGATAAGGCCATATGCGCAGACCAGAAAGTGACTATGTGCAAGCAAGAAAGAGAATTTTCATCAGAAACTGTCTTGCCAGACCTTGATTTTAAACTTTCTAGCCTCTGTAACTGGGAGAAAATAAATTAATGTTGTTTAAGCCACTCAGTATTTGGTATTTAGTTACGTCAGATGAAGCTGACAATACAGTTTCTAAGTATGTAAATATTATACCCTACTTAGTGGACATTCTGATAATTCCTAACTCTGTGCAGACCCTCCTTCAGTGAAGCAATTTAAGTTGCAGAGTTTATTCAACAGAAGCATACCCAGTCTTACAAAAATACATGCATGAGTCCATGGATTGTAGCACTCTTATGTAGAAAAGAGATTAGTAACTGTATAGTGTCCAACAAAGGGGGACTGGTTAAAAAATTAAGGCAAACTATAGAGGCTGCGTCCATGGGGTTGCGGAGAGTCGGACACGACTGAGCGACTTCACTTTCACTTTTCACTTTCATTCACTGGAGAAGGAAATGGCAACCCACTCCAGTGTTCTTGCCTGGAGAATCCCAGGGATGGGGAAGCCTGGTGGGCTGCCATCTATGGGGTCGCACAGAGTCGGACATGACTGAAGCAACTTAGCAGCAGCAGCATAGAAGATGGGATTCTCTGTTCTGCAGATACACTTGATACAATATGAGTATAAAAGCAAGTTGCTGAATATTCTGTAAAATAGGATTTGATTTTTTTGGGGAAAATATGTGTTCATATATACAGAAAAATTTGGAAGAATATGTGCCAAAAGAAAGGGAATGGGAACATTACAGAGTTGTTTAAAATTTTTATATATGTTGCCTACATTAAAAGCAATCAGTATGTTAAGAGTTACTTCTAATTAGTGGTTCCTTTTATGACCTCAGGCTTTTAAAATAAATTTGAACATATTTGATCCATCCCCTTATCCATTAAGGGAACAGAGTTCATAATTTTACTATAGAGTCTTCAAATAAAAAAAGTTCAGAGAATCCTTATAGATGTCAAAATAATTATGCAAATAGTCTTGAAGCTGATCATTTATGTAGAAAACTAATAAACAGATGTACAGTGAGGGTTAATGGGCCCTCTAATGGGTTTCTTTATAAAAGGGACCAATTTGGGGTAAAAAAAATAATTTTTTTCCATAACTGTTCTATAATAACTGGCATGTCTACTTTTAATTATCTTAATCACCCTCTCTTCATTATTGAGCTGACACTGTTTGTATATCTTAATGAACTTACAGAGATTATTTCAATCGATTGGTTTTGTTAACAGAACAATAAATCCTGACTGATAAAGGATTCACAATGTAATTAGTTAGCTCTTCTTATTATGCAAATTTATGATACTTCTGTAATGAGTAATTAAAGATTAATAAGAAAGATAGTCTCAAATTAGCTGCTTCTTATCTGTAAATGCTTCAGGATGTGTGAGGATCAGGCCACGTCTGCATATTAACAATGAGACTGGTAACCAAAGTAACTTTTCTTGATTTGGAACCCCAAAGTTCCATCTAAAAAATCTTCAAAGAGCTATTCCTGAGGCCACACAGTTTCACAGTAAGACGGCTGAGTGGTTCAACAACACTGTCTTCATTTCTGCCCAGGAAAGAGGATGTGGGAAACCTGGGCAGTTTCTGAGTCTTCACTGTGTCATCTCCTGGTACCTCTGTCTCCATGTCAAGCAGTACAGAACTGGGGTGAAGATCCAATAACATCATCTACATGGGGACGCTTAGCAGTGGTACTCCATGGAAAGAAAATGCTGATATAACTCATTCAATAAGGATTTAAACTACTATTTGCCAGGGACTGTCCTGGGCACCAGGGACAGTTCAATGAATAAATAAGACTAACCTCTGGTCCCATGGAATTTATTATTCTCTTTCTTTTCCTTTTCAGGGTTTTTTGAAATCTGAAGCTATTAAATCATGGTGCCCTGTTGTCGTGCCTTTCTGCTCCAAGTCTCATCAGAAGCAGGCAGGACACTAATCAAACAATCCCATCTGCAAGCCCAGAGTCACTTCAACACCTGTGCCCTCTGGCTGGCAAATAAGAATGGATGTCATGCCCATGCAGAAGACTGCCCAGAAATAGGGTTCCATGATGATACACTCTGCTCAGAGGCCCAGAGAAGCCATGCAGACACAGCAATAATACTCTCGGGAGCATGTCCTTGCCGCTCGCTCTTCAAACAGCAGCCCTTCTTTAACACCTACCACTGGCTTCCTGAGCACCAGTTCAGGCCATGTTGGCAGGGACCCTGTGGACAATGACACTGCACCTGCCACAGCTGCAGGTTGAGGTGCAGACTCAGGTGGTTCATCCCAAGACATGCCACTGTGTGTGGCAAAATTAGGATTCAATACTAAGTCCCAACTCTGAAGCCAAGCTCTGTCCCCCTCACCACACTGCCTCCACTGTGTGCTGCATCCACTCCGTGTCCCAGAGGGAGGTGATTCGGCAAAGCACAGGTAACCACCACACAGGATCACCGAGCTAAGTATTCAATTAAAAGAATCAGGCTCATGTGGCTATCATTTTTGGAAAAGAGTTGGAGGGAAATAAGGGGTGTATATACATGACCCTTAAAAAGACTCATGCCAGAGAATTGAGGAGAAGAGGAAAAATAACTGGAGACGGACTCTTGAATCAGTGCTCCTGCCCAGGCAGCATGTTCCTAACTGGGCTCGCTTCCCAGATCTCTCACTTTTCAGCTACCAAGGTACAGACACTCTCAATCCCTGCAATTTTACCTGAGAAAATCTCAAAACCACCCCCTACTCCTAGAGCCCCTGTGAGGAATGAGGATAATGCAAATATGAAACGTAAGCAAATGGCACACAGTAGGCACTTAATAAGTACCATTTTTGATAATGCAAATATGAAACGTAAGCAAATGGCACACAGTAGGCACTTAATAAGTACCATTTTTGCTTCTGAAGCTAAAGATGGAATACTCTCTGAGCCTTACCCTGCTCTCTGCATTTTCAATATCTTATCATCATGATTGCTATCACTGTTATCACACAAACCTAGCTTAAAATTAATTTCCATATAAGAAAATCTAGTAGTTTAAGGAAAATCTCCCTAAGTCTTATTCCCCAAGGTTCTAAAAGGTTTGGTTCCCAAATCTGGTGCTACTCTTCCAGATGACAGTGCCTGAGTGCCAGGTGAGAAAAAAATGTGCCCAACTGCTTTCCCAGACCCCAAAACTCCTCCAACATCATGATTCAGTGAACTCACATGGGACTAACGGGCCCTCGTCCTAGGGCATCTAATGTTGTGTATACAAAAGCAATAACAATGTTAACTGCTTGCTGCTAAAAGATCAAGAGAACTCAAAGTGCAAAGAAAGCACAAAACAGCTGCACTCACAGCAATTATGTTGAAGAAGTCGTCATCCCCCAGCGTATCCAAAATAGACGAGACTGTTTGCTTTGCAATCGTCATACGGAGCCCTTTCATGCTGCCACTGACATCCACTAAAATGACCACATCTTTTGGAGAAGTCGCTGCCTGGATGTACCTATGTCCGAGGAAAATTAAGCAAAAATGAATTCTGAATCTCTCTGCAAATGTTCTCTTTTAAAAAATAACTAAGAGGCTTGACCATTTCCTACCATTTTCGGTTCCTGCAGTCAAATGCAATGACTCCATTCTCATCTGGTTCCCATTTAATCCCTAGAAGAAAAATGGAGTTATGAGAAACCCAGAAACTTCAAATATTTATTCATAGCATTTCAAGGCTGTTCTGCTCTGCTGATTGAAGGAACAGGGTGAAAAATCACATGCAAAGACCAACCCTGGGGCTCATCACTTGCTCCATCACCAACTCTGGGAAGGTGCTTTAGAGCTGGAACACCATAGCAAACACGGCCTCAGCTCAGCTGCTCCAGATCTGCTAGGGAGTGGTGACATCTTTAGTAACCTGCTGTCCATCAAGAAAGGACATGACTGCAGCTCCTTCCTAAGGCTATTTAAAGTTTGCCAAGGCCATTTCCCACTGTTCTACAAGTTGCTGGATGTGGCTGCATCGTTTGTAGATCTCTGGGCAGAGTCCTGCCCTGTTTCTGGACCCAGATAGGTAATGTTTAGAGCATGGTGGGGGCGGGGCATTAGAAAGTATTCAGTACGTTTCCATCTCAGAATATACACAGTCTGTTCTCTTGTCAGCCCTGTTTTAGCTTGGCCTCCTACTTTGAAATGAAATAAAATGGCCCTAATTATGCTGCATAATAAAAGTTGAATTTCAGTCTTTGAAGCCTGGGGGGTTTTCTCCATACATAAAATGGGATCCAACATCTTCAGCCGTGTGGCTTGCAGGCTGGTCGGGATATATTCAAACTTCACATTCTCTATTTAAAACCTAGTTTTTAAGAATAAACTTTAATTTAAAAAGAAAAGTGTTTGTTGCCTAAAAGTAAGATAGAAAATCCTTGTTTTCAACCATCAGTGTTGCTCAGGGGTGGAGGATTTTGCAGTTAAGAAAATAAACAAATAAAAATTATTTTCACAGGAGAAAGGCCTGAGACTGTAGTATTGAGATTCTCCTTTCCAATTAATAAGTGCCAGTTCTCTGGACCACACTGGGCTGATAATAGATATGTGCTTAAGATAACACTGCTAAATCATTTCAGAAATAACTATGAGATAGAAGTTTATAAACTGAAGAGTCATTTTGTTCTGTTCTCCTTATATCTACATCTTCCTCCCACAAATGGACCTAATTTAAAGATTCTCTATAACAAATCAGAAAATAGAAGTAAGAGACGCCACTGCCAATTGAAGGTTATTAGGTAATGAAGATAAAATAGAAGTGACATGATAGTGTACACTACAGGAGAAGAATATAGTTTATTTTAAAAACATCTGATACACTGCATTTGTATAAAGCCAAGTATAGCTAGGTTGACAGTCTTGACACATAAAATGAAATTATATTCATAGGGAGGCTAAGTAATACTCCAGTGTATAACTCCACCAAGAACTGGCTTGAGTCCAAATAAAGAAAATTATTTTTAACGTGTGACCCATAGTAGACACTCAGTGGACATTCCTTGAATTGAACTGTGGCCAGTGTTCTTAGACCATAACCCTACCTGCTCATCCTCCACCTCACCCTCCTCTGCCACTCCTCCTTCATCACAGCCCCATCACTGTGTGCTCCGCTGGAGAAGAAACATGCAATTCCGTTTTACTGCCCCAGCATTCAGGCCAGGGCCTAGGGGAAAGTAATTAGTGATACTCTATATTCTCCTTTTGGACTGAGATCCTGTCCCAGAAAATGGGCTTGTAATTTCACACCGGTAATGCTGAAGCTTGGTGCTTTTCAAAAAGGCTCTAGGGAAGAATCTTTCCTTGCCTCTTCTTAGCTTCTGGCAGATCCCAGTAACACTTGGTGTTCCCGAGTTGCAGCTGCATCATTCCAACTTCTTCTTCCATCTTCACATGGCTGTCTTCTTTCTGTGTCTGTGTGCCCTCCCTCTCTCGTAAGGACACTTGCCACATGGGATTTAATGCTTACCCAGTAGGATCACTTCCCAACTATATTAGATCTGCAAAGATCCTATTTCCAAGAAAGGTAACAACTGAGGTTCCAGGGGCACATGAATTTAGAGGGACACTATTTAACCCACTACATGTAAAACATGTAGGACTTGTAAAATAAACGTGAGGAGTGGCCACAGGGCAAAGAAGATTATCTCAGGCAGAGAGAACCACGTCTGCCAAAGTCTGAGAACAGCATGTAGAGTTCAAGGAGCCAAAGGAAGGCTGGTGTGGCCGTGCAGAGAGGAGTCTACACTGAGGAATAGGCTGGGTGACAGTGGGGACCGAGAGGTACGGGCTTTTCCTGGCTAGGAAAGGAGATACGCTATTGACATGAGGACCTCAACACAACTCTACACACAGCTGCCCTGATGTCACAGCAAAGATAACATCTCGACTCAAATCAGGGCTAGATGGGCTCTGAAGGATGATCTTACTCACACTTGACCTCTGGGCCCAGATCTTCATTTCATGGAAGGGACTCCAAGGCTCTCAAAGTTTAACAGGCTTTCCTGAGATTTCCAGCCAGGACTAAGACTTGATCTCCCAAATTCCATGCCACCATTCTCTACCTTACACAGGCAGTGTAAGGCAGTTCCATGAGAATTTACTGGATGTTAGCAAGAGTTAAGTGAATAAAAGTAAAACTGGTTTCTACACCATGGGAGGAACATCTGAGGGTCTTTAATCTGCTTAAATTCATTTTCAACCTCTGCTGCTGGGACAGCAAGAGGCAGCAGTTACCAAATTAATTTGAATATTGAGCCCTTCTGTTCCCAAGAATCTCATAACAAAATGTTTTAGAAGACAAACTTCAGGAAACCCTGTCCCAGATGGTACTACCTCTCCTAGGACATTTCAACATTTTAGTGTATTTTTTGTACACAGCAATATTTTTAAAATGCTCAAGTAATCAAATTCTCTTCAGAGAAATAATAGGTGGTTCATCTTACATCTTTGAGATCCAGGGAACTGTCACTTAACCAAGAAGCACCCCTAGGAACCACATAATTTCTGGAAGTGTCAATATGCCTATGAGATCCCACCCAGGCTGGCTGGGGCATGCATCTCAAGATAGAAGGAATAGTGCTGTTCAGCAGCAGATTTCACTGCCATGCAGCCTTCTCTCTATGGCACTCCAGACTTCATGGCCAGTATCAGTGATGCCTAGCCTACCTTCCTCAGCTTTTATAGGACTATGTCCCTAGAATATTCAGTATATCCATAGGAGAAACTAAAAATAATGTTGAAACCTCTTCAGCAGATTAAATCAAATTAAATCAAATCTGATTTAATGTTAAAATATTGTGCAATATTCCAATATCCTATTGTTTGTCTCCCGAAGGTATTAAAAACTAACACTGGAGGGAAATTAATTTCATCTAACACAACATAGTCTTCCTGCCACATGAAAATGAAGAGTAGGGCAAACAGGGCAGAGCCTAACTCGGGCATCCTCAAAGGTCAGAAGGTTCAATAAATGTGTTCCCTTCTGGAATAGGTTGGAACTGAGTCTCTTTCACTGGTAACCAAAATCTCTGATGAATGCATTTCCCCACAAGAGGGAGCTTCATGGGGGCAGTGACTTTCCCTCCTTAGGTCACCATTTTATCCTCAGGGCCTCACATGGGGCTTAGAACAAAGAACTCAGGACACACTTTTGTAAGAATGAAGAAACATCCTTTCTGCTTAAGGGCAAGTACATTTATCACTGATTCATTCTATTGTACCACTCTAAACAGGAAAAGAAGCATCCTAAAAAGAAAAAAGGATCTTAGATTAAAAAAAAAAAGAAAAAAACATGGATCCTTCATCTAACAATCATTTTACATCCAGGAGACAAGAGGTGTACGCTGTTCAACACCAGGCACAGAGTGAGCCCTGAGATGTATCAGGGTACTGAAGCCCTTTGGAGGACTATGACACAGGTCTTTATTCACACAGAAAATATGCAGAAATTTTACAAAGTCAGAATTCTGCCACAAATGTCATAAAAGAACTGTAAGCATTTCTGCATCAATTTTTCTGATTATGACTGATAAAAATCTTGTACACAAATTAATCTCTCCTAGGAACATGAATTTGAGCAAACTCTGGGAGACAGTGGAGAACAGAGGAGCCTGGCATGCTGCAGTCCATGAGGTCATAAAGAGTCGGACGTGACTTAGCCACTGAACAACATTAGATAAACCCTTTATAAGGATTTTCTTTTGTTATGGACTGAATGTTTGTGTCCAGCAACATTCATAGATTGAAGAACCCCTATTTCTGATATTAATAGATAATTGTCTTTGCAAGGCAGTTAGGTTTAGATGAAGTCATGAGACTGGAGCCCCCATGATGGGATTAGTGTCCTTCCAGAAAGAGTAAGAAAATCAAGAGCTTCTTCTGTCTCCCATGTTAGGACACAGGGAGAAGCAGCCATCTGTAAACCAGAAAGAGGGGTCTCATCAAGAATTAAATCTTCATCTTGGTCTTCCCAGCCTCAAAAACAATGAAAAATAAATGTCTATTGCTTAAATCGTAAACACCTAGTCTGTGGTGTTTTGTTAAGGCGGCCCAAGATGACTAATACATCTCTATTATCAAATTTCAAATTTGAAACTTTCAAATTCAGTTTGAAGACTTCCTGCTGGTGGAGACAATAGATAATCTGCGGTTTCTTCTTATTTACTCCACCTTCATTCAAATGCAGCGTTGTTAAGTTGTTCCTGTGGCTTCCTGATGGATCCGCCCCCCCACCATGCTCTATTTTCACATCTGCATTAAATTTACTCGCTGTTGAGTGTATCAGAGCAGATTGCAATTTGGTGACACTGGAACTTTAATAGACCACTGTTTATTATAATGTTATCTTTAAAAGGATGCTTATTGTTTAAATTTCTGTGAGCTCCAGGAGGAACCATGCATGCCCTGCTGAACACAGCTCTTGGGAAATGTTGACTAATCTGGCAAAGCAGGCACTCGGCAGGCAAGTCTCAGGGGACAGATGCTGTGTGCAGGGCAAACAGCTCCTGCAGGCAGAGGCTGGCAGTCTCAGAGCCTCAAAGTGAGAAGACATCAGGTGCCTAGTCTTACTTAATGAAAACATAAAAGACTCTACTTAATTGCTCCAAGATTATGCAGGGCATTTTTTTTTTCCTTCTTTTAGGTTGAGCTTGTTAATTTCTACAGCTGTGATGCTGGCACAATTGCAGCCTCGAGTCCTGTTTCACAACTTGTAAGCAAAATTAAAACTTCCTTTTTTAATTACAATTTAAACCTAGCCAGCATTACATTCCTATTGCAAAGCAGAGGCCTGGGGAGGCCACAGCAGGAACACTTGTTCCAAAGTCATGGTGGATTTTTTGAGGGTGCTCTTGGTGGCACTGACATCAGTAGTGCTTTGGCCATTTCAACCTCTTCCTCTCAGCCTTGGACTGGGGAAACCTAAGCTCAAATTTTTCCATTTCTTACATTTTTCAGTTGGAATTTAACTCATGGCTTTCTCCTCTCCCTGGTAATAACAACACGATAACAGTAATAGCAATAAAAGCAATCTCTTGTGCAGAAAGATTAAGTATGCTATGTTTCACACCCTAATTCCTCACTTTTGGTGGTGAGTCTATGAACTCCTCTATTGAGAAAGATGCTGAAATGACACATAGGTCCTTATATGGGTGTGCACACATATGCAGATGCCACACTGCTTTCCTATCCTGTACTCTGTCAACAGATTTAAAATATTTGAATTTAATCTTTCACTTTCTCCTAAGGGAAGAGAAAAAAACTTTTAACCCTGAACCCTAAAGGAAAATACCACAGAATCAGTAACTTGAATTGTAATTCTCAATTGTAATTGAGAATTGTAATTCTCAATGCAGGGATACTCACCTGGATACTGCCTAAAAAAGCCCTTTGCACTTCCAAAGTACTGCCATATGAGACTTGGGTCACGATCAAAGTTATCTACAAAAACTTTGTTTAGGGATTCGGACCAGTAAACTCCATTGACAATTGCTGGATCTGGAGAAAAACAGAGGTGGGAGAGAGAAAGAAAAGAAATGTTATAAACCAAAGTGAAACTGAACCCAGCTGGCATTTCATATAGCTGACAGATATCACCACGGGGGCTATCCGGCAGGAAGATGTGAAGAAAGTTAGACCTCCCAAAATGGTTAGCTCCTAGGAATTGCATACATTAGGGCTTCCCCATCCTGCTTGAGCCTTCCAAGCCACCCAGGAGCCTCTATTTATAACTCCTTGCTTGAAAGGCACATCCCTTTTTGGGCAACTTTGAATCTGGCTGAGCAAATAGTTCCTTAGAAAGAAAGAGAGACCTTCTCAGCACTCTCTTCTGTGTTTTGGCTCCTGAGTCAGAACTCAGCATTAAAAACAGGAAAAATGTGTTTTCTGCCACTGCACTCACCTAAGTCAGCACAGCCCTGTTTCAGTTCTCTCCATCTCTAACAGAAAAGTTTGTTTCAAAAATAAGTAAATTGGAATTACACAACTAAATCTCTCTACTTCTTCTGTTCAGCAGATTATGAGCTCTGTAAAGGCAGGAATCATCTTGCTTTGGTAGCCTGCTGCACACCTTTGACCAGCACATGGCAGAAACACCAGAAATGCTGGATGGATAAAGAAATGAATGGATGATGAATAAAACAAAGGTTGTTCTCCAATTCCAGACAACTGCCTACTCTTCTGCCCTGTGAATCCATGAGTAAATCTCTTTTCCTCATCCTTAGCAGTCCAAAGATAACCCCTTGCCTTTTGTCTACAGATGAGAATTCTGAGTGAAGACAAAGACAGAAAATAAACAAATATTTCTTGTATACCGGTCAAAGATCATCCTCTGATCCCACAGAGGATGCTCTTTAAATGGCCATTTTTCTTTAACCTTAGAAGGTTCTATTTCAAAATGATGACGCACTCGGCAAAATGTTGTCATAGGGGAATAGATAACTGTCCACTCCCAGTCTGATGAGGGTTAGGAGGAGCAATTAAGCCAGTGTGACACAACTAGTGAGTCCATGCTCTAGAGCCTGTGAACCTCAACAACGGAGCCAACTCGCCTAGAGCTGTGCTTCACAGCAAGAGAAGCCCACACACAATAATGAAGAGTAGCTTCAGCTCATCACAACTAGAGAAAGCCTTTGTGCAGCGAAAAAGACCCATAATGGCCAAAAAATAAAATAAATAAATCTTAAAAAAAAAAACCACACACAAACATTGACATAAATGGATTAATGGTCACAGGCACTCACAAAGCCATCAATGGAGCCAACCCATTCCCCTGGAGTCCAGCACCCTCACCAGAAGTCCTGTGGGACTGTGAATCACAGCAACCCCACTGTGGCATCCTCATTTCAAAATCCTTCCATACTTCGCAGACAGGGGGAAAGGGGACAGATTCCATCAGTCCAGTCAAGTTACACAGCAAGCCAACAAGCAAAGCAACTCTAGAAATGCTTATATAAGTTAGGTACACTGCAAGAAAGCTCACTGTTGGTACTGGCACTCACTACTCCTCCTCCCCAGCTGCCTGCCTTTGCCAGCTGATTCCCTCTAAGAGGTTGAGGATGAGCCAAAGCTCATGATATGAGTCTGACTCAGTGGACAGACATGGCACCTTGTCTTACTGTCTCACCTCCAGCCTATCTCATTCTTTTAGACCACTTACCCAGATTAAACAGGCCACTGGGATTCTAACTTTCATCTCAAGGGTAAATACTCTAACTCTTGTAGACTATAATAAACCACATCCTAGACTAGGAGAGTGAAAACAATCAACATTTTCCTGCAAAGTAATTTTGAGTAAGACTTTATCCTCACCATTTTGGAAAATATGGTTCATTATTGTTCCTGTCCAAGCTTGACAATAATTACTGTGACTCACTCCTTGCTGTGAAAGCCACTTAAATTAATCCACAAAGGTGCAAATGCAATAATGACATTGAAAAATCCACAGTTCTTTGTCTCGTCCATCAATGACCTCAATTATAAAAACCTTCCACAAATTAGAAGCAAAAATTCCATTTCAGTAGCTCTCTGTGTTTCAACATGTTAAGGAGTTCACCATCTTCCAGTTAGACAATTTTTTCTCGAGCATGGTTTCTCTGGTGGTAGTAAAAGGCTTCCCATGTCTCCAGGCAGCCCTAGTAACCTAGTAAGATTGCTCCTCCCTCTGGGAACTGTGAGCAACTTCAGAAATGCAAAAAGAATTGTAGTATCTGAGGATCATTTCACCCACTTCATTTGAACACCACAACTTGCACCGAAATTATGCCTCTTTAAGGCGGCTTTGGTTTTCCAAGGATATGGTGAACAATGGGAGTAGAATCACTAAAAAAATATAGCCTAGTTAGAATAGAGGCTGTGTTACACATGTCTATATGATTAAATATTTGAAAGAAGACTTCCTCGGGCTTGTGAAATAATCAGTGTATTGATTTCACAAGCCTGTTTAGCAAGTAATATTAATAGAAGGGAAAATCTTGAACTGCTGTCCATTGCTACAGTCATCTAAGAGATGGAAAAAAAAAAAAGGAAAACTGTGACATTATTAAATGGAGACTTCATCTAAATATTTAATTTTTTGTTTAAAGACAAGTTAAAAATGATTTTCTCAATAGCACTGACTGACAGAAAGTGAAAGTGAAGTAGCTCAAAGCAGCTCAGTGCTACACATTGTACCCAGTGTAGCCAAGCCCCCAGATCCTTCCACGGTCTACAGAGGAGGACGGGAACACTACATTGGGGTGCAGACTGGCAGCCGATTCAGATGTTCCCTCTCTGGGTGCTGAGCTGATTTGCTTTCTCATGGCCACCTGTAAAAGGGACAGCATCCTCCTAAGCAAGCAGCTTTGCCTTTTCCCTTGTTTGTGTTTTGTTTCAAAATTTGTTAAAAGTTCCCTTTGCTTCAGTTAGGGTTCTTCAGGAGTCTTAGATTAATCTGAGTTTGGGGCTTTACCTTCATCCCTAATCTATAGGGTTTAATGGACCGTATTAACTTCCCATTGCTGCTGAAAGAAATGACCAGATATTGGGGTGGGGGTAGCAGCAGGGGCTTAAAATAACAGAAACCTACTCCAGAGGTCAAGACTCCAAAATCAAGGTGTCTGCAGGGTTGGTTCCTTCTGGAGGCTTGGCTTCCTTGCCTCCCTCCCAGCTCCTGGTGGTAGCCAGCAACCCTTGACATTTCTTGCCTTATAAACGCATCACTCCAATGTCTGCCTCCATCTTCACTTGGCCTCGGCAGGTCTGTTTCTGTATCAAATCTCTTTTTTCTTTAAGAAAACCAGTCACTGGATTTGGGGTCCACCCTAAAATTCAAGATGATCTCATCTCAAAAGCTTTAGCTTAATTACATCTGCAAAGACCCTATTTCCAAATACGGCCACATTTGCAGGATGTACCAGAAGTTAGGACTTGAACATACAGGCCACCTATAGAGGCCACTGTTCAATCCAGTGCATGTACTCATACTCTCTTAATTCTCCTATACAACATACCTATATTCCATGGTTGTTAATGTACAGTTTTTAACATCTGAGTTTGATACGTGCACTCTTCTTTCCTAGTGAAGGATGTTTAAAGACCTTCTCCCTTTTCCTCTTTATGGGAACAATCCAGATTTTCATGTCGGCATTATAATTTTATGAGCTTACAATTCTTCCTGACCTCTTACAATGGGTCCTATCTGTAGTGCACCAAATCGAATTCAAATCATTTCCCTTAATGTTTAGTGTTGTGTCAATGCCCAGGCTCTTAGCTCAATTCAGTGAATTCCACGTAACATGTTCATTTTCTCCAATGTTCCTATCCATTCTGCATCAATTTATGGTTCATACTGGTCAATATCAACTCCAGGAACAGCAATTCTTCCTCCTATTTCCTCTACTTTCTGAGAGATTAAAATACTTTTGATGCCAGTCAAAAATTTATCAGATGTTCAGCTTTTAGTAAAACAGACTACTAGCAGATGTTTAGAGAGTAAAAGTCCCACACCACACTGATCAATTTGCAATTTGCATCTGAAAAGCATTCACATATCCCTGGTCTGTCTTTATAATGTATCATACAACCTATCAAAAATCATATTTGTAGCTTCCTTTATTAGTTTCCCTAAATAACTGCTCTCATAGGTGCTTTCCTCTCAAGCTTGCACATTGCTACATAGAGGTCACCTCATGTTGCAGATGGCTTTCTTTCTGCACACTCCCCTTACACACACACACACATTTCCTTTCAGTTTTAGTTCTGTAAATAAGTAGCCATCACATTTCAGTCCCAAGTTCCATCTTCCTGTGTCCTGAGACGACCAGCCTCAAGCAAATTCATGTATGTACAGCACTTAGCATAGCAACTGGCACATATAGAACACTTCATAAATAGTGACCATTATTTTCTCCATGTCTTAGCAAATAAATAAGGTTCTGAGACGACTCCCAACTTTCCTCCCTGTTCTCTGCAGTGTGCCTCTGAGCAGTACTGCAGTACTGGTGCAGGCATAAGCCTGGAACTCAGGCTCTAGAGCTGGAATCTCAGGTTTAAGACCTCACTCAACACTTGTGAGCTAATGGTTTGGATCTGGGACTTAACTTCCCTGAGTCTCGGTGTCTTCATCTGTAGAAAGCAGATGAGAGCAGTCCTCCCTCAAGAATTGGTGACACAAAGTCTCAGCAGCAGGAGGACTCCAAAACTATCAGTGGGTACAGCTGCAGCTCTGTGGTGAGCCCCTGACACCCCACCCAGGGTAGTCCAGCTGTCCTAGGACCGCCAGGTAAGGTTCGACCTATGTATCTTCCTCTCTTCCTTAAATTATCGGGGCCAGGCACTCTTGATGACTCTTCCATTTGTTCAGTCGATGAATATTTATTGAGCATCTACTATCTCAGGCATTCGGCACTGAAACAGACAGATGATAAAGCTAACATTTCAATCTGAGGAGGAGAGATAAGGAAAAACATATAAAAATTCCAAATAGAAATTGGTGTGATGAAGAAAATTAAAAGGGATGG